CTACTACGACTACTACTACTACTACTACTACTACTACTACTACTACTACCACTACTACTACTACTACTACTACTACTACTACTACTACTACTACTACTACTACTACTACTACTACGACTACGATTACTACGACTACTACTACTCCATCCGCCTGTTCCTTCTCCTTCCTCCTCCCTCCTCCCCTCCTCCTCTCCCTCCTCCTCCGCCTTCTTCTTCCCCTCCTGCTCCTCCGATTCCTCCTCCATCCTCCCCTTCTTTCAGTAGGACATCTTGCCCAACACTTCACTCCACTGCATGCTCCTCCACATCCCTGATGAGGGCAACTTGTGTGGGTACCGTTTGCTGGTGGTCTTACTTTTTTGGTTCGCGGCTCCAAGGCGGATGACAGGGAGCGAGCACAACGTCCGGGGCGCATGACGATGTAAATTGGCCAGCGAGGCGCTGGTGGTCTTACGCGAAGCGTCTAGAATACGTGTCCGCTCACCCTCCCGAAACCACATGGCGTCTCCTGCCGAAGGAGCCACAATCAGAGGGGCAATACTATCGTAAGTTGCGACAGATGTGCGCCCCAAGGGCCGCGCGATCCTGGAGTAACTTGCGATTCATCCGTGCTGCGTTGAACTGTGCCGCATTATGATGTGTTGTATTGGATTGTACTGTCTTGCATTGCGTTGTGGGTCAAGTCGTTCTTGGCATCCGAACCCTGACCGAACTGATATGGATTTTAAGCTCAAGCTGTCTGAATCGAATAGCTCGCCCTGCGAACTGGCGCAAATTGTGAGTGATATGTGTTGTGTTGAACTGTGATGCGTGGTGCTGTGTTGAACTGTGCCGTGTTGAACTGCTCTGAACTGTGTTGAACTGCACTGTGCGAGCAACGACCTTGTGTAAATCACCCTGCATGCGCATTACCAGGGCCACGATCCCTTGTAAATTACGCTGCGTCCGCGCCCTCAAGGCCACAAACACATGTAGATTACGCAGCATCAGCGCTCCCAGAGCCACGATCCGTACAAAATGACGCTGCGTCCGCGCTCCAAGGACCGACACCCTTTGTACATTACAAAATCTTTCCATGCGCGGGCACGCACGGAATGCATTTTTTCTACCAAAAAACGCCATCCACCATGTGCTTCGTCGACCGAAAATCCCAGCACTAACGTTTCGCCTGAGACATCCTCGACAAAACATCCGCGGGCCCTACTCGACGCGCTGTTCCTCGAGGCAAGTGTTCGCCCTACGGAAAACGGGCACCGCGGACAGCTTCCTTCGGGGACCCAAAGTGCGGTAACGGACCGCGTGGTGGCCTCGGAATCCCAATAACCTCACCACGCGGTCTGTCACTACACGGTCTTGTCTTGGGACCTCTGAGGCTCTGGTCGCCCGAGACGTCCTCGGAGAACCACCCAAGCCCCAAAACCGCGGGGTGACCCCGAATGCGCACCGACTTGCCACGCCGCGTGGTCACCACCCTTTTTGGGGGCCCCCCGAGTACCACACGAGATCCCTGGGCCAGAGCGCTCTTCGGGGACAAAAGGAACTTCCGCCGCCATGTTTCCATGACGCCCAGGATAGAGGCCTCCTAGATGAGGTCCGAGTAGATGGGATCGAAGGATCTCGCGGCATCGGCGATGCATCGGCAACGTCGGCGATGCATCGGCGCCGTCGACGTGAAGCAAATCGGGCCCCACACCGAGCCGCATCGGCGATGCACCGGCGATGCGGCGCGATCCTCCAACCCCATCCTATTCCGACCCCGTCTACGAGGCCCACCCAGAGATCCGATGTCGTGATTTGTTCAATACGCGGTCCCTGGAAGTCTCAACCCATTCCCCAGGACTGGCTTTTCATCCTGAGTCGTCTTTTGACGGTCCCGGGGCCCGGCGAGGGATCCTAGAGGCCGAAAATCGAAAAAAACCTTCCTCTTGATTTTTTCAATACGTTGGAGGTCTGGGTAGACAGAAAGGTCTGGGGACCGAGGGGCTGGCGCGCGATCCCCGGCGGCGCTCGGGGGCGTGCCTTGCCGGGGCCGCCCCCGTGCCGCTGGTGCCCTCGCCTTCCGCGCCCGCCGGGCCGCGGAGGAGGCCCCCCCCGCAAGGTTGTGAGGCTTCGGCTGCTGCCAAGAGTGCCCCTGGCCCAAGGCGCCCCCAGCATGTCGTCCTCCCCATCCTCCTCCTCCTCCCCATCCTCCTCCTCCTCCTCCTCCTCCTCCTTCCTTCTCCTCCTCCTCCTCCTCCTCCTCCTCCCTCCTCCCTCCTCCTCCTCCTCCTCCTCCTCCTCCTCCTCCCCTCCTCCTCCTCCTCCTCCTCCTCCTCCTCCTCCTCCTCCTCCTCCTCCTCCTCCCCTCCTCCTCCTCCTCCTCCTCCTCCTCCTCCTCCTCCTCCTCCTCCTCCTCCTCCTCCTCCTCCTCCTCCTCCTCCTCCTCCTCCTCCTCCTCCTCCTCCTCCTCCTCCTCCTCCTCCTCCTCCTCCTCCTCCTCCTCCTCCTCCTCCTCCTCCTCCTCCTCCTCCTCCTCCTCCTCCTCTCCTCCTCCTCCTCCTCCTCCTCCTCCTCCTCCCTCCTCCTCCTCCTCCTCCTCCTCCTCCTCCTCCTCCTCCCTCCTCCTCCTCCTCCTCCTCCTCCTCCTCCTCCTCCTCCTCCTCCTCCTCCTCCTCCTCCTCCTCCTCCGCTCCTCCTCCTCGCCTCCTCCTCCTCCTCCTCGCTCCATTTTGGAGCCCCTGGAGCCAAGAGTGCCCCTGGCCCAGGGCGCCCCCAACCATCTTGGAGCCCCTGGGCCCTCTGGGCCTCGTGGGGGGGCTGCCCTGGAGGCCGTCTGGGCCGCCCGGAGAATCCTGGGGGGTACCTTTGGCCAGGGGCACTTCTAGCAGCACCCGAAGGCTGGAGGTTGGCCGTGGCCGCGGGATCCTCCGAGGAGGGGGCGGGGGGGCCAGAGGTCGTCCAGAGCTCCGCGCTGCGCGCTGCGCGGTGCGCGAGGCGGGGGCGTCCTCGAGCTCTCGCGTGGTCCCCCTGGAGAAGATCACCCCTCCGGCCCAGGCCACGACGCGCGAAACGCGGTCATCTTCCCGCTCTCCCGCGGCCCCCCTGGGAACAGAAACCTTTTCAACGCAAGCACCCCCGACATCAACTATCCCACAATAGTTGTCAAAGGACGACGAGCACGCGGGAGCAACAAAGGCCGCTCATCACTCCAAAAACACAGCCCACATGACGCAGCTAACCGAGGTCGGTGCACATTGCAACAAAGAACCGTCACTGCAACAGCGCCAGCACCCACATGAGAAACGCGAAAGTGAAGGTAAGATTGTAAGCCCCGCCGACGTCGCCCCTGCACTCCCCGTCCATCTACATATCACCGCCATAGCATTCGGCGTGACACGAACTGAAGTCGGTTTCGCCATAATTCCCGCAAACTGGCCACCACACATCGCCGCACCCAATTGCCCATGTCGCCCCGGTCGTCCGAATCCTCTGGCCGTGTGAGAGGCGTTCTGTGTCTTCGGGGAAAGGCTCAGAAAACTTCTCAGAAGGCCAGGGGACTTCCGAGCCCTCTCAGAAGGCCCGCCCCTTCTCCCTTCCCCCCCATCGCTCGCCGCCGACAGATGGCACCGGCACCTCCAGCGAATGACAGGGGTGAGCAGGGGACGTCCGACAAGAGCAGAGTTCCCAGGCGGGGCTGCGTAGGCACTCGACTGTTCCACACGGAGAGGAGAAACGCACGCAGTGAGAAGCCAGACCCCGGCTAGGCCGGCTTCGCAAGAGCAGCGGGTAGCCCCGCCCTCTCGGACGGGGTCTCGACCTGCTGAGACTTTGCAGTGTTCACAGGCCCTGCAACCAGAAGCTCCTCTTGTTCAGCTGGCTGAGATGCATCCTCCCCCACCTCCTCCTCCTGCTCCTCCACATGACCCTCCTTCTCCTCATTCTCCTGCTCCTCCTGGCCCTCCCCCTTCATGTCGTCCTCCTGGGCCTTGCACCCTTTTGAAAGGATAGCTTGAGCTGCGGGGAGGCCCACAGGGGAAGGGGGGGAGGGGGCGAAACTCTCTACAGCCGCGTCCAGACTTCAAGTCTAGCCCTCCCGAGGCGCTCAGAAGCTTCGCCAATCACCGAAAAAGCACACAAAGTGCAGCGTGAGCGGGGATGCGCCACCACACTCGCCAAAGGAAAACAGCACCGAGCGGAGTGTGACAGAAGCCGCGATAGACCCACGGTGAAAGCACACCTCGCTCAGCAAAGCCAGAATGATATGAAAAGCGGCTCGCCGCGACAGTGTCTCGAAGGCACTCCGTTCAAAAGGACCGCCGGCATCATAGGAGAGGCTGCTTTCGAGTTCGCGGAAGGGTGCAGTCAGATCCCACCCTCCGGCCTGGTCCGACCTTCTCCCTCGGCGGGGCGTACGGCTCGTGGTCCTCGAACTTTGCCGGAGTCGCCGAGCATTCCCTTCGCTCTCGCATTACCACCACCACGCGGCCAGCGACGACTCGACAACGACATCGCTTGCACTGGCTAGGGAAGACAACATGCACGCAAGGTAGCCAAAAGCTGAGGGCAACAGATGGTGACCCACATGACCCCAAGCGCGTGCGCGGGACACTCGCGATGTCGACCTGGCTCGACTGCTGGCATCTCGACGAATGTACTGGATAGAGGTCTGACACGCACGTCACTACAGGAAAGCAGGGACCGATGGCAATCATCACCACCGTCAGCACCATCGTCGTCGTCATCAGCCACACCGGGCGCCGAGCCCAAAAATATTTAAAAATTGTGAAAATATTAAAAAGATAGTCCCCATACTATTTTTGGACCGTGTTTGCATGTTCCCCCTGTAGAGGGACAGGCCCGGCTTAACGCTAAAACTAAGCCGATGTTCGAGGAAGAGTTCAAAATAGTCCCACTATATTCAAAAATGGTCAAAAAATTGTTTGAACAGTCCTCATACTATTTTTGGACCGTGTTTGAATGTTCCTCCTGTAGAGGGACAGGCCCAGCTTGACGCTAAAACTAGGTCGGGCATGTCCTCCTACAGGCGGATGTCGACAGATAAATCAGAAAAAGGTCAAAACATGTTCGCTGTATTTGCATAGATTTGCACGAAGAATCGCCGCCAGACTATGAGCTCACTCTTTTCTGGACATGCCTCCTGTGGAGGGACACGCGCCCGACTTGACGCCAGAATGCAGTGCGCCACCAGCGCCTCGGCCCTACAGGTGGCGGCGCGCCGCACGGGGGTCAGGGAGAGGGGGGAACGCAGCCCACCCCCGCGTCGTGAGAAAAATCACGGCGGACCTTAGCTGCCCCGATAACACTCAACACGTAGCGTATCGACACGGCGCTCAACACGTAGACTGAACGCGTACGTTTTGAACACGGACGTTTCGAACACGGCACGCGTTACGCTTCAAAACGTGCGTATCAGAGCAGCTAAGCGGCGGACCTTTTTGCCTCTGTGTTCGGCCCCTGGGGGCCATTACAGGGCCTCGGGACCGTCGACAAAACGACTCGGGATGAAACACTGGCCCTAGGGAAGGGGTCCAGACCTCTGGGCGCCGACGTTGCAGGAAAATCACGACGTCGGGGGTCTGGGAAGGAGGCCGCTCCTTACGAGGGCGCCGGCCCTACATCTATAGGCAGGGCCCGCGCCTTCTGGGGAGCATCCCCAGACCTCCAACGTACTGAGAGAATCAATACAGAAGTGTTTCTCGATTTTCGGCCTCAACGCCGGGCCCCGGGACCGTCAACAAAACCACTCAGGATGAAAAACCGGTCCTGGGGAATGGGTCGAGACTTCCGGGGACCGCGCACTGAAAAAACCACGACGTCGGATCGCTGGGTCCCCCTCTCCCTATAGCCCCCCTCGTGGCCGACCTAGGCGCCGGAGCGCTTGGCGAACTCCGCCGGGTACCACCCGAGGCGCGGTCCGGCCGCGGCCCCAGGGCGCGCGCGCTCCAGGACTGTGCCGAGCGCCCAGCCGGCCTCCAGCTTCTGCCGGGAGACCTCTGGGGCAGAGCGGGGTGGCCCCCCATGTTCCTCGTCGTTTCGCGGCGCAGGCCTGGAGGGATCCTGAGGTCCTGGCGTTGCAGTTATTCTCACAACGGGCGCTTTCGCCCAGGCTCAGGCCCCAGGACCCTCGCAGATCGATGCGGCTCGGAGACTGATGCACAAAGACGGGGTCCAGGGCTCCGGGCGAGATTGTTCGCGACGTTGACTTTTTCGCAACGTCGGATCTCAGGGGATGGGCACCGCAGGAGCACGGCAACTCGGTGAGGCAGCCAGGGGTCTTAAGAGATTAGTGGCGGCACGTGGGCACGTGGAACGCGATGCGTGTGGAAAAAGCGAACTGTGAAACGCAGTACGTGGCGAACCCCGTGTGTGAAACCTGTGAAGGACCCCTGCCTGTGTGCGGAAGCCTATCAGTGCGGACCCCGTGGCCAGTCCCAAGTGTGAGAAGTCCTATGTACGCCGAACGCACCGAACGCAACATGTGAGGAACCCTATGTCAAGAAACCCGTGTGTGCGGAGCCGAAAGTGTGCGGAGCATGGTGTGCGTGTGGGTTCCTGTGTGCTTGGAACCCTATGTAACCCTCTGTGTGTGTGCCTGTGGAACCACTTGTGCGCGCAGGAAAGCCTATTAGTGTGGAGCTAAATGTGTGTAGAACCCTGCGCGTGCGCGTGGACAGTCCTGTGGCGGCGGCAGCCAGAAACATATGGCGGCGAGATCCAGAACTCCGTCCCGAGGACTAGCCCCCACGAGACCGAGTACGAACCTCTACGCAATGTAAGCGCTGGTTGGGGCATGCCATTCGCGGCGCGCGGCAGCAGGTGGTTAAGACCAAAACAGGCGGGAGGGACGCGAAAGGAGGGATACAGAGAAAGAGAAAGAGAACATGCATGCGAGGATGAGATCCTGGGAGTCGGCTTGCCTTCCTTCTCCCTCGCCCCTCCTTCCACATCCCATTCACCCCCCTCATCCCTCCTCCTCCTCCTTCTCCTCCTGCCTCCTCCTCCTCCTCCTCCTGCTCGTCCTCATCTTCCTCCTCATCCTCATCATCGTCATCATCACCCTTACCCTCACCCTCGCAACCGCCCTCCTCCTCCTCCTCCTCATCCTCATCCTCCTCATCCTCTGGGTAAGCGCAATAAGTTGTAATATGTACAATTGCAGCATTCAAAACAATACGACTACTGGTAGTACGAATGATACTGATAGTCATAATACGGGTACAAACAATAACAATTATACGATCAATGGTACTAGCAATGATAACAACAAGGAAAATACCAATAATACAAGCAACAAACATGCATTCACCATCCGCAGCAGCAGGCAGAATCGGCATCACAATCGTTATCATATTACACATGGTAATGATAAGGGTACGACTCATCAGAACGGCCATCACCATCATCAGCAACAGCATCGCCAGCATCATCATCATCATCATCATCATCAGCATCATCATCATCATCATCATCATCATCATCATCATCATCATCATCATCAACATCGCCAGCATCATCACCAGCATCGTCACCATCGTCAACATCAGCATCATCATCATCAGCAGCAGCACACAGTACAACATCAAAAACACTATCATAAAAATAAATATGCTAAAATGAATGCGAAGCAAGTTGGAATGAACATCCTCATCAGCAGCATCATCGGCATGATCATCATCATCATCAGCAGCAGCAACAACAACACCATCATAAACGTAAATATCATCATCCTCATCATCATCATCATCATCATCATCATCATCATCATCATCATCATCATCAAAATCAGTATCATCATCACAATCCTCACCATCATGATCATTATCATCGAAAGAGCGTGTTCTACCGCTGCTGGCGGAAGGCCGGGGGGGGTCACTACCGGTTCGAACCCCTCCCCTCCCCCCCCTCAGGAAAACCGGAGGGGGTCACTGCCGGTTCGAACCCTCCCCCCCCCCCCCGTTCATCATGAAAAGGGGGGGGGGTCACTACCGGTTCGAACCCCCTCCCCCTCCCCCTCCCCCTCGAAAACCGGGGGGTGTCACTACCGGTTCGACACCCCCCCCCCCTTCGAAAACCGAGGGGGGGGTGCGGACAGTGGTGGGGACGGTGGTGATGGGGACAGTGGTGAGGGACAGCGGGACAGTGGTGGGGACAGTGGTACAGTGGTGGGGACGGTAGTGGTGGGGACAGTGGTGAGGACAATGGTGGGAACAGTAGGGACAGTGGACAGTGGTGGGGACGGTGGTGGTGGGGACAGTGGTGTGGGGACAGTGGGAATGAGGTGGAAACAGTGGGACAGTGGAGGGTACAGTGGTGGGAACAGTGGTGAAGGCGGTGGCGAGGACGGCGGTGGGACAATGGGACAGAGGTACAGTGGGGACAGTGGTGCGGACAGTGGGGACAGTGGTGGGAACAGTGGGACAGCTTAGTGGGACAGCGGAGGAGTCAGTGGGACAGTGGGGACAGTGGGGATAGTCGGGCAGTGGTTGGGGCCGTGGAGAAAGTGCGGAGAGTGGAACCCTGGTGGGAACAGTGGTGGGGACAGTGGGGACAGTGCGACGGTGGTGGGGGGCAGTGGTGGGGACAGTAGGGACGGTGGCGGAGCCAGTGGGGACAGTGGTGGCGAGGACAGTGGCGCTGGGAACAACAGTGGGGCATGTGGTGCGGACGGTGGTAGGGACCGGGAGTCGTTTGCTGGCGGTGAGTGGGGGGGGTGGGGAGGGGTTCGAACCGGTAGTGCCCCCCTCCGGTTTCCGAGGGGGGGGGGGGTTCGAACCGGTAGTGACCCCCCCGGTTTTCGAGGGTAGGGGGGGGGTGGGGGGGGGGGGGGGTAGGGAGGGGGGGGGGGTTTTTTGCCGAGGGAGGAGGAGGGGGGGGGAGGGGTTCCAGCAGGGGGGGAGGTGATTTTCGGAGGGGGGGGGGGGACCCCCGGGTTCCGGAGGAAGAGGGCGGCAATTTTCCACAGTAAAGCGGCGGTGGATCACGCTCTCTCTTATCATCATCGCCATCGTCAACGTCATCATTAGAGCCACCATCAACATCATCACCGCAATCATCATTACCATCATCATCAACATCACGATCACCATCACAATCACCATCACTAACGTCATCATCATCATCATCATCATCATCATCATCATCATCATCATCATCATCATCATCATCATCAGCAGCAGCAGCAGCAGCATCAGCATCAGCATCAGCATCAGCATCAGCATCAGCATCAGCATCATCATCATCATCATCATCATCATCATCATCATCATCATCATCATCATCATCATCATAACCATCATTCGCCTCGTCTCTCCTCCCGCCTCCTCATATTCCCACTGTCCTCTATGTTCGAGCCTCTTATCTGTTCCCTCCTCCCCGTCCTAATCATCCCTCCTCGTTCCTCCCCCATCCGTCCTACTCCTGCTCCTCCTCCTCCT